GCGAAGAGGCATAGATGACAAACAATCTGATAAGCTACCTCAGTTGATATCTAATCACTGCGATGGATGTCGTAAGCAAAATACGAAGATTTTTTTTAGTCCCCGGAGATATGGAGGAGGGGGAGGTTGGGGCGAATTTCACAGAATTTTTAATATTGAATATTGGAGAAGATATTTTTTCTGGGGTTTCCAACAACTTTCAGACCAGATTTTCTGAGATTACCGGGGGCAGATTAAGAAAAGACACTTATCAGGTATCCGATTTACTGAAGGATAGAACGGAGGCGTAGGCGGCAAACAATCAGATAAGCTACCTCAATTGATATTTAATTGCTGCAGTGGATGTCATGGCCAGAAGACGGGGATTTTTTCTCGAATGTTAGGTGTAAGGAATTGGAAAGTGTAAATATTTAGAATTTTTTTTAAAGTACCGTGAGAAAAAAAACTTCCGATTTCGTTCTAAGTAACTCCAAGAATGCCCAGATCGTTCGGACATTTGGTACAGGTATCCCATGTTAGTGATGTTACTGAAATATTGGAATGCTCCCACTGGCTGGGTGCAGCTGTGAAAGCTTTACGAAAGGCACCCAGTTTACGAGAGGGTAGCCAAAAGAAACCTGAATAGTGCTGCGGCCATAAGGAATTTTCACAGTACGTATTTTTCCTGATAAGTTTGAAGAATGTTTCTTAGAATGAAATCACAAATTGGACTTAATGTATTAATGGAGAGTACTTTGAAGGTGATAAGATTGCTTTGTAAAAAAATTAAGCGCATAGTTTTTTTTTTAAAAAAAGAATTCCGGCTTCTTTTGGGTACTCCTTGTGTATGCAGACATATTATGGTACTCCTAGCATCTCCACGTAGCTCCTTTTCTTGCGTGACTAACAACTCCATCCTTTGCGGTTTTAAGTGTATTGCAGCCAGATAACTCCAGATAAATTTACGGGTCACTGTTTTCAGTGCATTTTGTGGCCTTAGCAATCACTCTTGGTCACTGCCGGGTACCAGTGAATAATGCGCATTGTCCGCTTTATCGTCTTTCATCCTTTTACAGTACTTCAACAAAAAAGTAACTTTGATGAAAACCTTGAAGCGAATTAAGTGAAGGGAAAAGAAAGGCTTTTGAAAACGCTAAATGCAGAATGTAATTACTTTTAAAAAAATGCCTTCTAGACGTGTAGTGAGATAACAAGCAAGCCATAGTCGGATCCAGGATGGAAGGGGGGTGGGCGAAAGGAAGCATCAGTTCTGCAAAAGCTCGGGTCTGTTCATAAATAAAACTTAAGTAACTACAAGTAGCAGTATTACAACTCTGTTTCTAGTTTTTATATAGTTCCAGAGCAGTAGGAGCTCTCCGCCAACTGCCATGGTCCATCCCTTCCGACCCCTCATCAACCTTTCTCCCAGGGGTCCGTCCTGAATTCGCCTGTGAGGAAATTTATAAATTCAGATACTAGTCACGTGCGTCAGTTTGCAGATAACGACTCATCTGTACTTAAGGCTGTAATGACTTCCCTCATAGCGCTTCTTTAATGGGAAAAAATTCTTGTAATTGATTGAGAGTCGAGACGATTTTGATTGTAGTAAATTTAAGACAGGTACTACTTTAAGGTCGATAGAATAGCGCCACTGTAGCATCACTAAAACGGAACACCCCAATTGATTGTCCAAGGACTCTCGGGATCTTTGATGTGCTCAGAAAGCTTTTTGCCTCCGCCCTCCCCCTTTCCCCGCCTTCTGGCCATGCTAGATATTGCATCATATACTTTCTTAAATTTCCTGGAAACTACACTGTCATATATAGTAAAATCTCAGAAAAATAGTCAAATAATGATTATAGCTATTATTTGCTGAATCCCAAAAGAAACTGATGGTAATGGATTTTCCTCGGAATTCTAAATTCTTTTTCATCGAGATCTGTATTCCCGGGGATGTTTCCGAAGTTTATCCCAATAATTTGTTCCTTTTCGAGTTATTAGCATTATCACCGCTCCTCACAAAAGCACTTGTTTATTTGGATGAGGTGGATTTTTCTAAATCAACAGCTTATTATGGTATTATTTGATTAGAAAAACATGGTACTCATTTCGATGTCTTTTAAGAAAAGCAGGTTGGGAGTTTAAGAAAATCCTCAGGCCTCTGTAATGGGAGAGAATTTTGAATCTCTGAGGGCTATGTGCCGATATTTCGGTGCTGTACCTTATTAACATTGGTTGTCTGAATAAAGATTTTCCAGGAATACTAGGTGGCTTCCAGGATTTTCCAGATTTTTCTGGGATTTTCCAGGATTAGAAATTGAATAGTTGGGCGGACTTCGATGTTACAGGTTATCTTAGTGCCCTATCTATATAACATCGAGATTGGAAGTGATTGCAAGAACACTTTTAGGGTTTTCCGAGAATACCGGGACCGCTCGGAAAAACAGTTTGGATATGTTACTGAGATGCTCCCACATGCCGGGCGATTCCTTGAAGACCTTAGATAATCTAAAATTTTCCAGCTTGTAATTTTCTCAGTGAGTTTTTGCACACTCCCAAAAAAAACCATTCTAAACACTCTTCTTATCCAGTAAGCTTTAAAATTGGGGCTGTAATTAAATAATGGGAATCTGTAATTTTTTTCTTTAACAATCTTTTGGGTTAATTTTCGTTTCCGAAACTCATGACTTGCTTTTTTTTGCTTTTATATTCATCTTTTTAAAAGAATGCTCCTTCAAAGTAGTATTTCACTTCTTTTATCATTATTTTTTCGCTCTTTTTATTTCCTGTTTCTTTTTCTCACTGACTGGCCAATTTCGTTGTGATAATTTGGAAAAATCTTCGGATTTTAGCTTGGTTCACAGAGGGTATTGTGTTTTTTTTTTTTTGGATTTTGAGTACTTTTTAGTGGTTCGGTGGATTATTCCCAAAATCTGAATAACTGCACTTGCAGTACTTCCCCCAGTTCATGGTGATGTCTTCTAGCAATATAGCTGGCAATTTTTTCAGTTGCTTTGACCGATGCTGCATTGCTTGGGAGTGAGCTTGCTGAGAAGTTTGATCCTCAGTCATTCTTCGTTCAGTCTCTCACCGCTCAATTTTTAAACTTTTTTGAGGAACCAGTCGGTTCTGAGCTGTG